CATTGGAGGTTTCCATTGTTTCTGCTTACTATATTGCTATAAGACAACTTTTAAGCCTCTCGAGTTTGCTCGAAGGGTCTAACTCGAGACTACCAATTATGTGAGTCATAGTTATACGCGTGAGTTCGATGACGTCAGTTCGAGTACAACACGGAAAACTCGAAAATAAGGGACCAGGACGGCTAGCCACATGGAGTTTTCCGGGTTATCTTCGTTTAAATAGGAATCAGTTATCCTTAAAAAGACCCCTAGCGCGGAATCCCCCGAAGCAGATCGCCAAAGTTTTGTGTTGCAATAATCTAATTAAAAAAACCATCAGAATGTACCTCCTGCTAGAGCCCCCACCAGTGGGCGAGTGGTCTCCGTTGCCGCTCATCGTAGTGGTGACCAGACCCTAAAGACTGGGAGGTTCGTCGTAGGTTCGCGCCACGGTCGGACAGGCTGGCTGCTTGGAGTTTTCCGGGTTTTCTCCTTGCCTATAACGACTGAATAGGAGGCCAGTTCCCCAAAAAATTCTCCCGGAAGGCATTTATTTCCCGCGCGTACGTATGGCTGTTCGATACAGCCGGCTAATCGGTCGCCTAGCGATCATACACATACACAAGTCTACTCGGAGAAAGAGCCTACATTGAGCTAAAATCTCCATATAAACACCATCGAAGAAGAAAGAGAAAGGAAAAGGACCTCCTGCTATGACTTTCTATAAGCCCTTACTATTTGTTAGACATGTGAAATGAACATTAAATATTAAACATTGATATCCTAAGTAGAGTATCTCATGTTGTAAAGCACGTACCAGCGATCAATTACCAGCGTTCGGGTGATATCCACTCAGCCACAAATGGGCCTCGAGCAATATGTACTAGAAATAATAGTTATAACTTTAAATAAGCTTAGTTATGAGTTTAGAAATGACTACCGCGAAACTGGACTTTTATTAATGTAAATTTTATCTGATAAAGATTTTTGAATTAATTTATTTAGCATTCAATTTTCTATTGCAGATTAACAGTGCCAGTGTTTTGTCTTCTAGCAGCGACGATTATTTTACCACTTCTAGGAGATGGCCCTCATTGGAATGACCTGCTAAACGATGTTGATGAAATTGTAGAGAATTGGCCTAAATATGCTTTTCATTACACTAATTTCATAGAACACACTACTGGAAGTTCCATTGTAAAAATAATATATATCTTATATAGTATTTTAAAATATACAGTAGAGCGTCGTTTATCCGAATCAATTGGGGACTGTTCGGATAACTTATTTTTCGGTTAACCGATTATGTACGAAAAAATATATTAACCTATCCCGTGTTGAAATTTTTCTCCGTTGCGTGTCGCTTCGCGCTAAATTTTCGTCGATGTTAAGCCTAACGTACACTTTTTAAAATAATAATCGTGGTAAATAATAATAATGTATCGTTAAAAATTATTTATTTATTTTGTACAAACAAAATAAATATATTGAAATATATAAAAACAAAAAAAGTTAGGCTATACTTTAGAAGTTCATCTAGTATCAAAAATGTTCGATTCAGCAACACACACAATCTCAGAAAAACAGTACACAAAAGTGCCAGTGCTGCCAGCTAAAATACACCCAACAAAAAAGTACTGTATTGGAGTAGTCCAAGATATAGACAAAGATTGCAGCGCCACAGCACAAGCGAAAACTTAAATATGCCGACTGGAATTCTTTCGGTTAACTGACGTTTCGGATAACCGGCTTTCGGATAAACGACGCTCTACTGTATAATATATTAATTAAATGTTATTAACATTTACAGATACTTAATCATTTATGGTTTATAAGCGCTTTGATTCAGCAAATTCTTGTGGCTATACCTTTACTCTATATAAACAACAGGTAAGTTTTCTGTTTTTTTATTTTTAATCATTATTCTGAAAACCATTTGAAAACTATTGGGCCTTTTAATAATGTTCATTTTGTGTTTGGCCTTTGGTTTCAAAATATCAATACAATATAGTAGTATAAAAATAAGAGTTCTTCCCCAAAATTTACAAAGATGAAAATTTGGATAAATCTTTTAAAATTCAGTGAAAAAAGTTAAGAAATTTTAAACTCNCACAAGATTCAAAGCATTTCCTTCTATCTATGAAACTAGCGAGCCATCACCGAACCACCGAAAATCTGCAAATAATAATAATTATAAAGGTTTTAAGTGATTAGCAGATTTTAGATTTAATTGTAATTTTAACAATTTTGATTTAAAATTTTGCATAGTGCGCCTTACTGCTTGGCACAGCCAATTGTTGGAAAGAACTATAAATTCACTAAGTTCGATAAAATCGATGACTTCAACGTCGTCCCATCCCATCGTAAGATATGAGAAGATATCCATTAAATTTAGTGACTGTTGGAGTAGAACTAAACCAGAAAACATTAAAATTTTTACAAAAATCATTTAGTAAGATATTCTTTATTGCTAACTAATTGCATTTGAAAGAAAATAAATTAATATATATATGTAAAGTAGTAACCTTTTAGCACAGCGGGGACAAAGGGGGTACGGCTTTGTTAATTGGACCCACCTGCAGTGAGACGGTAGTACAATTGCCATATTGTAAACGAACGAACGTAAACAAGTGGCGGACGTTTGTGTGAGCTCCACTCTCGTCGGATGACGGCGGACCCGAGTGTAAGCTGTTCGGGCAAAGAAAAGGGATTGTGATTGGTCGGAAGTCCCCGTCCAAAAACCCTTAAATTGCGGGCCGAACGAGAGGAAAGGAGAGAAGGGCAAGAGACTGGTACACGGTAGTCTCAGGCACTTGGGAAGCCCGCTGAGCGTAAAGAGAGAGTGTTCTCCTCTGTTAATCTTCTCAGGGACGGGTTAGTGCTGAGACCGGACCGACCGTGCAGTTGAGCCGACTCCGAAAGCTGACTGAGGTCTCTCCCAAGAGTATTAGTTTCCAGACGCCAATCTGGCACGTGAATTCACCACGCATGATCTTCCTGTACATATGCTACGTTTATAACTTGTACAACTGTAAATAAACTATATATATATTCAATTTGAGTGTGGAGG